ACCTTCGACCGCGCTCGGCCTTTGTCCTCGCGCACTTCGCCCATTCCGTCTCTCGAACCTCTCGCGGTCAGTCCGCAAGCACTCCAAGATCACGATTGCACCCCAGAGCCGTCCTCATACGCCGGTCAACTGAACAAGTTGGTTCACAGCCTGAAGGCTGATTTGCATGGAAAACGAGGCGAAACGGGATCGGGTAGTTGTCCATGGCTGATGGATGTTCATACCCACTCGTTGGGAACCCGACTACCTTATGTTTCCGCGCTTGTCCACCTGTCGCCGCTTTGCCCTTTCACACCCCGAGTTTACGTGAATGCTGGCGGACTCCGGAGCGTCTGGGGCACGATCCTTATCCTTGGCGAGTCAGCTGCAGGTAAGCTCTGTACGTGGTGATACGCACGTGCCGTGACCGCTGTACGGTGCACCGCGACTACGCTAGCGCCTGCGCGCCGCCGCCCACCTTGTCCTCGCTCGTCCTCGCACATCTCGACCATTCCGCTGCGCATACCCGTCGCGATCTGCCCGCGAGGACTCCAGGATTAACGCCCCAGCACCACAGTCCCGACGCGACACTCGCGGACGCACCGTGGCGCGGCCCACGCCCGCTCGTAGTCATCACCTGCCCGCACTCGATCCCCATCCTCCACAGCCTGACGACACGTTCTTGTCTCGTGATGGTACCCCACTCCTCATATCGTATGTTTATTCTTCTCTCCTGCTTTATTTTTGCTCTATTTCGTATCCTCGTATCCACTTCGCGAGCCCCCCATTTCGGCTCATGCTGCCTCGGTCTATCTGCGCTCACATCCCCGCTCCATCTACGCGTGCAGTGTGCTCATCTAGTCTCGCCTTCGGCTTCGACTTCGCGCACGCCCACGTTCACGTCCACGCTTTCGCGCACGCCCCCATATTCGCCCTCGCCTTCGCCAGCGCCCGTGTGCGCGACCTCGTCCATCTCTCGCGTCTATCCCCGCGGTGTCCTCCTTGCACTCGCGCGATCCTCCAATCCATCCTCCCTTCGCGCTCGCTCTCCCCGCGGCGCGTCGTATCTGCTTCTATACGACTTCCTGCGACTCACGCTTACGCTCACTTAAGGCTGTTTGCGGATCGATCCACGGATGATCCGGATCCGAACCCACGGATCAGGTGACTTCCGGGGGCTTGATCCAGATCCGCATGGATCAGATCCGCTGGAAGAGCCGGAACCGCGGGAGCCGGAGCCGCGGATTGCGGCTCCACCCGTGGATAGAGCCGCAAGCCATAGTGATCCATGGATATCCACAGATACGGATCACCCAAATATGTAGGACACAAAAATATATTCATGTTATACTAATAACAATGTAGGTACAAGTGGAGAGGTTGCTGCGAGGCAAAGGGGCAGCGGCGGCAGAGAGAAGAGGGGAAGGCAAGAAGCCCACGTGGGCGTTTGCGGAACGGGTGGGGGACGTGAGCGAAGCGGGAGGATGTGGGTGAGGCAGGGGGAGGTGGACGACGCAGCTGGCGACATCTATGATCCAGGTAAGGTAGGCGCGAGTGCTGGCGAGGATGACGCGGGCGAAACACGGGCAACACAAGGGAGGCTCGTCGGCGACAAGAGCGAGACAGTGGCGACGCAGACGAGTTGGCGACGCAAGTGACACGGGCAAGGGCGAGACAGGCGAAGGCGAGGGGGAGACAATGGCGATGCACCGGCACGGGGAAAATGCAGATGATACGGGGGATGTGGGTGAGAAGGGCGAAGCGGCGAGGGCGAGACGCGGACGAGGTGAGATGGGCGAGGCGGCGAGTGACGACGACGAGGGCGCGAGGGTGAGGATGATGCGGGGACGAGGCGTGAGCGATGCGGGCGCGGGGCGGGCACGTTCGCAGGACGAGGGCTGCACGGAGGAGGGTGTGGCTGGCGACGCGGGGGCAAGGCAAAGGCGTGGCGGGTGAAGTGGGCGCGACATGTGGACGATGCAGACGAGGTGGGGGACGCGCGGGTGATACACGGGCAATATGGGAGAGGCTGAGATGGAGAGCGCGAGGCAGAGGGCGAGGGTCGTCTGGGGAGGGGGCCAGCGAGGGCTGCCAGTGCGGGGGAATGGAGGTAGGGAAGGACTCACCAGGGAAATCAAGGTCGCAGGAGCTCACCGCGACCTCACAGAACGGCCGTGCCCGCGAGCGCAATGACGCCGTGTGGACGGAGAGTGTGGTGACGCAGGGACGTCGGTGATGCGGGCGACGTGGGGCAGGAGGGAAACGAGGGAGACGCGGGGGAGACGAGGCCGATGCGGGCAAGGGCGACTCAGGCAAGGGCGACGCGGGGGCTAGAGGGTGAGGGCGCGAGGGCGCGGGTGGGAAGGCAGAGGGCAGGAGGACGCGGACACAGAGGCGGCAAGGAAGGCCAGGACAGAGGACGCGAGATCGAGGGCTGGGGAAACGCGAACGTGGCAGGGGCGACACGGGCGAGGTCAAGGCGAGAGAGCGTGGTGGAAGGGCGAGGGCTAGCGTCGTCCGGGAGGGGTTCCGGTGCGTTGCTAGCGTGGGGGAGGAGGAGGCGACGCGGGAAGCAGGGCGAGGAGGACTCACTGAAGAAGATCGGGGCCGCGGGAGCTCACCGCGACCCCACAGAACGGCGCGGCGCACGCGCGCGATGACGCCGCGTGGACGATGCGGGCTGTGGGCGAGGGCGACGCGGGCGAGACGCTTGACACGGGCGAGACGGGAGACGCGGGAGACGCATGACGCTGAGGACGGTGCGGAGAGGGCGAGCCTGAGGGTCGTCTGGGGGAAGCGGGAGGCAACGCGGGGAGCAAAGGGGCAGGTAAGGACTCACCAGAGGGAGTTCACCGCGCAAGCGCACGCGGCCGTTCTGTGGGGTCACGATAATGCTGCGAGGACGGAGGATCGAGCATCGCGGGCGACGCGGGACTTGTGGGCGACGTGGGCAAGGGCGAGGGTGACGCGGGCAAGGGATGAGGCGGCGAGGGCGTGGCGGATAGACGGCCAAGGTGGGCGGGAGAGCGCAGGCGGGCGCGGAGGACGCGGAGGACGCGGACGATGGAGAATGCGGACGGTGGAGGGCGCGAGGTCGGGGGAGTTGTCGGCGCGGACGGAAACTGGAAGGGGGAGGCGACGCGGGGAGCATAGGGGGCGGTGAAGACTCACCAAATGAGATCCGGGCCGCGGGAGCTCACCGCGACCCCACGGCACAGCTCCTGGGCTTGAGGACGGCCGCGCGCGCTCACGCGACGACGCCGCGCGGACGGAGGGTGGAAGGCAAGCGGAGGAGGAATGAGGAGAGGAGGCGGGATCAGGGCGGGCAAGTGACGCGCGAGACCCGCGTTCGAATCCGAACACTGCCCGATCGGGACGGATTCCCGCGTGCAGACGCCGGATGCAGGCGTCAAAAGCTCTCGAAATGACAGACAATAGCATTGTATCAATATCTCAGTCACTTTTGAACCAATTCACACACAGGTTATATCGTTAGAAAGCTGCTTCAAATGGCTTTCGATTGACATATCTTAGATAGTATAAATACACGTATTTCGTGAGAATCTGCGGATAACCCGTGGATCGAGCCGCAAATCCGCCAATTTTCAGCCCCCTTGATCCGGAGCCGCTGGGAGCCGGAGCCGGAGAGAGCTGGAGCCGCCCAGCTCATGATCCCCGGCTCACGGCTCCGGATCATTGCGGGTATACCCGCGAAGTGAGCCGGAGCTGCAAACAGCCTTACGCTCACTCGCTCACTCGCCCTCATCCTTGTTGATTCCTGAGCCCAGAGTTGACTGCACATTAGTGGCTCAGATATTTGTGCTTTCACTGAAAATCACACGTTTCTTCAAAGGGCCCTGTGCAAGCTCCCGCTATCCTGAAGAGTGTTTGTCGCAATTGTGGTCTCCCCATCTCCTTGGAATACCCTCAGAGGGGTCGCTTGGTGTCGTCTGCGCGCCATGATGCGTCTCTACTGTGGCTGCTGCACGAATCTCGCTGTCTACGTCCGATGATGAGGATTCCGACAGCGATTTGACTAAGGATGGGGACTGGTAGGGCTATTCTCCGCAGCACTAGACCTTCATTACATTTCGAATTAGTTTCATGTTACTTACACGTGTTACAAATGGCGTCTGAGGGTCGGTTTGTTAGTAACATATGTTACAGACGGCCTGGAATATGTAGTCGAACCCTACAGCTGGCGATCCCCGAACCCCGAGCTGGAGGCAGTGCTGGCAATCGATCTCTCAAGCCTATCCCCTTCCGGAACACATCCAGGCCGGACGACCCGACTACTAGCAGTTTACCGGATGTGCAAAACGGATTTTGCAGAAGCTGTACTTAGCTTGTCCGTCCTGTTGGAGTTCGGCGCCAGAGGTGCAACCTCGGGCCGCTTGCTTAGGTAATTGTGTAGCTATAGTGCTCGCCATCGCCTGTACCGTACGCTACGCGTTTGCTCCTATCCACCACCATCTCCCGCGCATCCGCCGTCCGTCCGCCTATCCCCGGTGCCCAGAGGAGCCCAAGCGCGACGCCCTCACCCTCCGACCTGTCCCGATCGCGTCCTACGACCCCGAAATCCCACACGTCCCGCTCCCACACAGTTTTGAAATCATGTAAGGTACCTTCTGTATTTTTTTTCAGAGCAAACAGAGGAGAAGTACAGGAGAGCGAGAGGGGCACTGTTGTGCAAATCACGAAATCACGAAACGTCACACCGGCAATGACGAAGCGCCCTGTTGAAGATGCGGCCACAGCGTTGGCGGCAGGCTGGCGCGTAATTCTACCCGTAGTTCCCGATTCGATTCCGGCTGGTGCCGGCATCATCAACGATATCAAGTCTCGATACTCACTAGCGCGTGCGACCCTCAGAGTGCTTCCACGACTACTTGCTCACGTTGCTTTCAAAGGTAGGCAGCCTGTTTCCATGCTATGCGCCTTGCTGTGAGCGCATCCGAATCGCACGTCTGCAAATCCTTGTTCATATTCGATGCACTAGTTTTCACGAGAGCACTAAAGGATCACGCCACGAACACGCCCTTGACGATGTCCGCCGCCTGCTCCGCGATCGCGTACACCATGCTCTGTGTGTGCGCGCTCGGGATGAGCGGCACCACGCTCAGGTCGACGACACGCAGCCCCTCCGTCCCGTGCACGCGCAGCTCAGGGTCCACGACCCGCCCTTGTCGCGCGGGAGCATCGGGCACGAGCCAGCGGTGTGGTGTACGGTCGTCATGTGCCTCTTGAGCCACAGCGCGATGTCGGCGTCGGAGGCGACCGCGGGCCCGGGGTTGAGCTCCTTCCTGAGGACGTCGGAGAAGGGCGCGGTCTGCGCGAGGCGGCGCGCGAACTTGACCTGCTCGACGTATGTGGCGAGGTCTGCGAGGGCTGGTCGGCAACCCGTCGTCCGAAACGCTGAGGGTGAGATACGACGACGCACCGACGGGCTCCTCGAAGTAGTGCGGTTCAATCGCGGACGGCGCAAGCGGGTCTGCGGAGACCGCGTGGATCGTCCCGCGCGAGAAGGGTCGGTTGAAGTGACGTGCTTCGCACCAGGAGTCGCCGGAGGGTCTGAGTGGGCGTCGTCAGCACTGCGCTCCAACGCCGGACGGGGGTGGGAGACGCACTGGGGAAACTGTAGAAGCCGGAGATGGTGGTGTACTCGGGGCCCGCGCCGCCCGCGGCGACGCGCGCGTGCTGCTCCGCGTACTGCTCCGTCAAACCGGGAATGGCGCTAGTGGTGGGCGCGGTCGACTCTATCTCTGCGGCGCGCGAGGAGATCGCCTTCAGGGATGACCAGGCCATCAAAGATATGCCGAGTGTAAAGAGGCCTTTTCCCTCGGGACTGAACGGCGAAGATTCAGATGTGGAGCTGGTGCGGGAGAGGTGAGTAGGACGTACTAGAGAGCCATGTGTTCCGCGACTTTTGCGGGGTCTGCCAGCTCGTCGATCGTGTTGTACTTCTCGGGTTCGTTGAGCTCTACAACACCGCCACGTGAGTCGGAGATCACTGCATAGGGAAAATGCATGCTTACCGTACGCAATTCCCGCAAATAAATGCTCCTGAACGTTCGTGCTAACGGCAGGGAGTGCAACCTCGGTCTCGACTCCGATCTTCTCCAGCACAGCCGGGTCGCCGACCCCCGAAAGCTCCAAGATAAGTTGCGGGTACTTCAGCGTTCTACGAATGCCATATCAGCGCCCAGTCCAGCAACAAGGTTCATATCTATGACGCAAACGCACCCGGCAGATACGATAACCTCTCCGCTCGACGACGTCGAGACCACATGCGTTTGGCCATCGAACAAGAACTCCACGCCCGACGCCACGAACTGGTCGTCTTCAGCGGGTGCCGAGAGCACTCGGGCAACAGGCGCGTTCACGAGGACCTTGAGGTTCGAGCGGCCCACCGCGGGCTTGAGATATGTCTGGGAGGTCGTGCGCGTGTTCGCGCGCGGGTCCATGTTCGTCGCCGCCATCCCAGCGCCCACTAGGGTGCCCGACTGGAGGCCGCGCAGGCGCGGGAAGCCGAGGGTCTCGAGCGAGTCCTGCATTGCGATCTCCAACCCACTGTTCATGTTCGGGAAGCTGATCGTGATGGGACCTAGTCGTGCACGAGTTAGAACGGCGCCGCGCGCGGGTGGTTGGGGATTGAGAACTCGCCGTCTGTGCCGTGGACCGCGGGGTCGTGTGTCTTGCGCTCTTTCTCAGCCGCCTCACTTGACCCCGGAATGAATCTGTGCGGGGAAGCGTGGCTCGTGAGCTGGAAGGATGGAGGAGGACGGGAATGTACGCACGTTTCAGACTTGATCGCGTACTTGAGGTGGTTCTCCCAGTTCCATCCAGGGTTTCCGGGGCGCTCGGGATAAAAAGTGGACACTAACCGTTGATGACCTCCTTCTTTGCGCGCAACCACATGTAGAAGTTGACTGCAGAAGAGCCGCCGAGACCCTTTCCGCTGCGACAAGCGAGTTCAGCCAAACGTTTAACGGGGATGCGGTCCGCGAAAGTATGCTCACCGGGGCCAGAAGAAGCTTGTGTCTTCAGAATGCTTCTGTGGTGCCTTGGTAAGAGACATCAGCATCGAAAGTTCTGCCGCGTGGAACTAAACGTCAGCCTACCGTTGTGCCAAACGCCCAGTCGTACTCAGGATTGCCCATAAATTTGCCGTACCCGGCTGGGAGATCTAAATTGACGATTGAGGGGAGTTCCATCTGCGGATAGCGTGTTGGCGTACCTATAGCGGCGTCGTTGAAGTGTGCGCCGCCAGCCTCGAGCACCAGCATCTTCTTCGAGGGGTCCCCGGAAAGACGGGATGCGAGAACGAGGCCGGCGCATACATAGCAGTACATGATATGCATAAACCCCTGTTAGAGCGCCCCGGGCTTATGCATATTGTGAATTATGCATACGCGAATATATGCATAAACATTGGTGTATGCATACAACTGTAGAGGCGTCAATGTCCGTAAACAAAACAACGCAATGGGGAATCGAACACCCGACCCAACCCAAAAGGGGGAGGTGGGAGGCAATTCTACCGCTGCGCCATGAGTCCATTAAAACGGCTTATATGTTTCTTCATATGTACCGTTCATATTTTCTCAATACGTCGACTTAATGTACTCCCGTCCTCCCCAGCTGACCATCCTCTCACAACTGTGGGTAATGCAAGATGCCAACTATGACCTCCCACACATGTCCAACGGATATCAGCTCACCTGTGCAGCACACAACGTATCATTTGCTTCCTGTAGAGGCGTAAGTGACTATGCCGACGACACAAGTAAGTTTATGCATACGCCCCGTTTATGCATACGATTCGTTTATGCATACAACACGTTTATGCATACAACGTGTTCATGCATATGGCCGGTTTACGCATACAGCCCGGTTATGCATACAACGCGTTTATGCATACGACACATTTATGCATACGACGTGTTTATGCATACGACGTGTTTATGCATGCGAGGTGTTTATGCATACACCCCGTTCATGCATACGCGGCGTTTATGCATACCAACGTTTATGCATAAACGGTTCATATGCATAAATGTGTCGTATACAGGTGGGGCAAGACGATACTCATGCACCTTCAACTTCAGGGCCGAGTTAAGCCGAGATAACGAGCCGGCGTAAGCAAGGGACCGGGGACATCGAGTAGAAGAGAGGCGAAGCAAGATACGACGCGTCGCGGGGAGAGCGAACGCGAAGAGAGTTGGATCGCGGGAACGCGCGGTGCGTGAGGAGGACGGATTAGACGAGACCGAGGAGGATGACGAGCGTAGAAAAGGCAAGATCGAGGGCGAACGGGAACGCGCGGCGCGTCCAGATGCGTTTCGTCTCCACGCGGAGGCTGCCGTATCGATCCTGGGGTGAACGCGGGCGGATCGCGATGGGCGTGCGAGGCGCGATGGGCGTGCGAGGCGCGATGGGCGCGCGAGGCGCGATGGACGACGTGCCCGGAGGACGCGCGCGAGGACACGATGCATAGGAGTCGGGCGGAGGCGCGCTAGCGTGTCGAGGGACGACGAGTGGATGTGAGTCGTAGACAATGGAGCAACGTTGCAAGGACGCAGGGGTCGAGGGAGAGCCCTGGCGTCGGTGCCTGGTGGACGCGTCGACGGTCATGGGTGTGAGGATGAGGCCGGACTGGGTGAGTACGTACCTCACGCTCGCCGCGCAGGCCGGGATAGCCGAGTGAGGCGGAAGGGCCGGGGACTGCGCGGAGGTATTCCTCGGGCACAGCCACCCCCACAGTGCCTGGATGACGTGCGGGTCGATCACATCCCGCTTTTCTCGGAGACGCGTCTCATCTCACGGCCCGCCCGCGCGTACTTGCAAGAGCACGAATAGTATGAAGCATTCTACGAAACAAAACATTACTACGCCCTCTACGGCCCTCTACGAAGGGCGCACCCAGTTGCGAGCGCAGATTCGGTTCCACTTCTGGAGGTTGAACCCGCCTTGGACGTTGTCCAGGCCAAGCGCCTCGATGAGTTTGCGACCCAACCTATGCGGTACGGTAAGTAACAGGCGCGTAGATACAAGAGGAGAAGCACTCACGCGGCCACTACGTCCGATCGGAAATCCTTCCCCTTCGCGGACCTTTTCTTGCCCTTTCCTTTGCCACCGCCGCCATGATCCTGCAACGCTCCGTCAGTTTGCCCTCACGCGCGTAATAGAATGCGACTTACCGGGTGCCAGCCCCAACTCACGGTCGTCCGATGTAAGAACCTACAGCGGCCATGGGGGAACGTAAGGCTCCCGCCGTTGTTCTTCTTCACCTTGATGCGACCTCCAAGGCCGTTCTGGATGGCCTGAAGCGCACATGTTAGCGCATCGTCGTGGCAATGAAGCCGGAATACGTACCTCACATACTAGTGCGACCTCCATATCCATATACGGACCCCGCATAATCTGGTACAAGGTCTGCGCCAGATGATCCACCTTATCGGACACGTAGTTGAGTACGAATATGAACACGCTCACCTGGCGGTGTTCCATTGCCATAGGCGGCATAATGAGCGTGTCGGCGAGAGAGAAGAACGAGTGAGCAGGGCTGGGAGAGTCGAGGTCGACGGTGCGGGGTGCGAGCGCGTGTGGTGGAGGGTGAGACATGGGTCGAGGCCGTCACGAGCGCGGGTGATGCAGCGATGGTCGTGGTGGTCGCCGAGAGTGAGAAGAGGGGGGAAGGTCTATTCAGGACCTAGCGCAAAGACGAGCGACGACAAACTTACCTGGGTTGCCACGCGGGTGGGACGCGCGCGCGGCAGGACGTGATAGCGGGGTGCACGTTCGCGAAACAGGACCGGGGCGCGATGTGTGGCGGTTGCGGCGGCCGCGAAGGGGGAGAGGGAAGGCCTGTTGAAGACCCAGCGCGAAGATGAGGCAGGAAAGGCTCACCTGAGCTGCCACGCGGATGGGACGCGCGCGAGAACGGGGCACGAGGGCGGACGGTCACGAGAACGAGCCTGGGTGGTGCACCGACGTTGGTGGGGGAGGGCGGCGTTGAAAGCAGGGGGAAGGTCGGTTGAAGACCCAGCGCGAAGATGAGGCAGGAAAGGCTCACCTGAGCTGCCACGCGGACGGGACGCGCGCGCGAACGGGACACGAGCACGGGTGGTGGAGAGTGAGTCGTAGGCAGGAGGGCGTCCCGGTCGCGATAATGAAGGCGAGTTATGCAGTTGCAGCGGCGTGGTTTGTGGCCGTCGAGGTCGAAGGGAGCGGGGGGATGTCTGTTGAGGACCCAGCGCGAAGAGGAGGCACAAGAAGCTCACCTGAGCTGGCACACGCGTGAGACGCGCGCGGGCGGTAGGGCGTCACGACCGGGGGCACGACCGGGGGTAGTGTAGCGATAGTCACGCGAGGCGTGGAGGATGAATGGGAGGGGGGATGGTCTGTTGAGGACCCAGCGCGAAGAGGAGGCAGGAAAGGCTCACCTGAGCAGCCACGCGGGTGGGCCGCGGGCGGGGGGCAGGGCGTCACGACCTGGGAAACCGGCGTGGTGGAGTTCTGGGGTAATGGAGCAGCGTTGGTGTTGAAGGAGGAGGAAGGAAGGGCTGAGGGGAGCAGAAGGGGCGAAGAGAGGAGAGACGAAGGGGAAGGAGAGACGAAGGGGCAGGAGAGGCGAAGTCGTGAGACCCTCGTACAGTGACGCACAACGCAGCGAGACACTTACCCAGGGGACCCGGCAACGGTGCACGACGTATTTGTCTTCGATCGCCGAGTTTTCTGGATGTGTTCGACGGAGTGAGGGACGTCGAGAGACGACGGTCGGTGGAGGATGACGATGTGGCAAGCGCGGGAGTGTGGTGCTGGGCGCTGGACGTTCGACAACTTGCGGCTGAGCTTTCTCGCGTTTATGATAGCGTGCGTTGCACGCGTGCTCTCAGGTGCGTCGAGTCTCGCGGTGCGTCGCGTCCAGTGCGTCGCGTCTGTTTCCGTTCGTTCCTCACCGAGATCGCGGCCCGCTTAAGTGGTCCTTGCCGGCGTTTTGGTTATTCAAGGTCTTTCATTACCCCTGCGAACATGAGTTGACGACCTCCAGCAAGGACGACACTACTCACTACTTGGACAGGCCTCGGTGTCTTCGGCGATGACCGAACGGCACCGCGTTTCTCTTGATTCCGTGATCCGTCGCGGCGTTCAGGTACGGCCCGAGATCTCGGCGTTTAATCCGGCAACTTACCGGCCTTTCAAGGCGCACGCATTTTCTGACGTCAGTCGAGCGTCCCGCAGTCGAGCGTGCCGGGGTCAGAGGTGCATACGGCGTGTACGTGTAGGTAGCACTAGCACTGAATATACATGGGTACGGATAGGCTAGCGACGCACGGGTGGCTACTTCGCGGCCTTGTTCTTTGCTCGAGTTCGCGGCATACCTAGGCCCTGGGTCTACGTCAGCTCGGGCGTTCGCTACAACCTTATACCACGAACCTGGTTGATAGTTTTCGGGAACCTGTCGTCCGCATCGTTCCAGAGTTTGTCGAATTCCAGCCTTCGCCTGCGTACCAAGGTGTCAGTCAATCAAATGCGACTCGAACGTATGAACTTGCCATCTAGCGTACGTCGCAGCGCCCAGGCTGCCTGATAGCTCCTCTTCTTCTCCTTTTTTGGACCACCATGTCCTCTGGTAGGCCCACATCTCACGTGTCCTGAACATCTCCTCTAGGCGGATGTTCGCTTCTTCATCCCACCGAGCCCAACCGGTGCTCGCCCGGAACCAGAGAACTTTCAACTCTGCCGTGAGATCAGTGTCATTCTTTACGTGCGATGAGAAGAACCACTCACTTGCCATCGCGAAAGCTTTCTGGTCCTTCTGGTCGAAACTCTTCGCCCACGAGACAGTCCTCCACAGCCAGCCTCCTGGTGGGTGGTGCGAGTCGCCTGCGTTGCGTTGGCAGTGGAGAACGGTGAAATGCCGTAGATCGCGACTTTGTAAAACCCGAAACGTATCATCGTCTTGCTTCATCCCAAGGCGACAGAGGATGTTGCGGAGGCGATGGTATTCTGCCCTAGCTGTCTTGACCGCTAGATGCATCTCTTGTGGCGCTGGGTGCTCCCGAGGTTTGGCGTGCCGGTTCCGGAAGGTGCGCTCGCGCGGCTTTGATGCCTCTGGGTCGGTGAGGTCGTTGAGAGACGCGGTAAGCACGATGCTCTTGCGAACGTTGTCGAGTGCTTGCTCCGCTTGAGCCTCCCGAAGCTGCCGTTCGATGAGCGCCATGGGCTGGAGATGTGGGTGTTGTCGCAGACTGGGGTGCAGGAGCGACGGCAACGGAACTTGAATCGCTGCGACTTGTTCCGCCCATTGACGAACGGTAACGTCTGAGATGTCTTCGACCGCCTGAGCCTCAACGACATCGCAGTGGTGCACTCTTGACTCCAGGTCCTCGATGGGCTCCGCGTACGGCCAGCCCTCCGGAGAGCCGAAGTCAACCGACGTTGCGCGGTCGTGGATGGCCGCGTGCAGCAGGCTTCCCACCACACGTTCGTAGTCGGAAAGTACGGTTTGCGCGCTGTCGATAACCGTTTGCGCCTTCTGCATGGCTCGTTTTCGAAGGGTCCTCTTGGCTGGGTCAAGACCCGCGAGCTCCGCGATGGTAAGTCCTCTGCCATACTTGGGTCAGACGGTCGTCATCTAGAGGTGAAGTACTCTCACCTGGCGTCATGAAGGTCGATAGCTGCCACGATCGCCGCGACGATCTTTGTCACTTTCGTGTTTTTGGGCGGTGTGGGCGCTGGCGTCCTCAAATCGGACGCCGCTTCTGGGAAGGATAGATCTGGTTGGAATAGCATGAGCATATAGCGTAGCTGTGGGTGATTCTCGCTCACCCGGGTCGACGTTCATCACAAACGGATTCTCGAGGTCGTCGTGATTCTTCACATCAACCACCTTGTCGTACCATTCGTTCAGCTCCTTTCGCCACGCTGTCAGATGCCTCTTGTCTATCTTCGCTTCTAGGGAGTCTATGAACGCTTTCATCTCGGCCCGGGTTTCCTCGGCCTTCTCCAACATCGTTCCCAAATATTTATCTGGGTTCAGGGTCAGCCAAGCCTCGTCTGAAGGCAGGTGTACTTACTCAATATCATCGACTTGTTTATGTTCAGGTTGTCCGCAGCGCGCGACAGGGTGTCCTCCCGTGAGGCAGGATTCATCTCCTTCGTGCGGGTCGACAACGGCGCCAGGAGAGCCCAGTCTTGTTCGCCTTCCTCGCCGCCTGTGTGGCCTGCACCTTCCCTCATCGCGGGGTTGAAGACGGTGTGGCAGGCGTCTTTGTGTGCGTTGATGTGGAATTGGCCGAGGGTGGGATCAATTCGCGGGCGAACCATCTTGGGAGGCGCTTCGGTGGGGATCCCGAGGGGAGTGATGGAAGGTATCTCGTTCGCGTACTCCTCCATATCATCGAGGCGTCGGTCAAGGTTGATAGCTAAGGAGCATGCGACATCATAGTAAAGCCGGACGCGCTTCAGCGCGCGAAACGGACGCAAAGCCGAGGCAAGGCTGAAGTGTACGATTGAGAAGCTGGACGTTATCGCATCGTTGAGACGACACTGGCACTCGAGGATATCCATGCTTGAGCGCTCACCTCTCCCCTTTATTCAAATTCATCACGCTGCCTCCGATGATGGCTCCGTGTCTACAGAAGACAGCGACGATCCCGGTCACGTTCCCGACATGTCCCGTATACCCGGTCGCCTTGAAGTTGTTGCAATTGGAAGGCTTTGGACCAACGCCTTGCTCAGAAACATCATATCTTGGTGTACACGAGCGCACGTACCTCTTTTTCCGTCTTGCCCACCTTCGCCAGGTGCGTCTGCAGGTCGTTGCCATTCCCGAGGTATGATATCTCCTTCGTGAAAGGCTGCTCCTTGTCGTCTCTAGGCTTTGGTCTGGAGAAGTGCTTAAAGTGTCCGTCGGTCTCCAGAACCAAGTCGTCGAGGTACCTGTGCCGACGTCAACCCTAACCCTATTCTCACAGGGGGCGGCTTACTCGTATAGTTTGTCCCTCAGCTCCCAGTCCAGACGCATGTTCTTGCCTGGGTGCGGGCACGCTGCGCACAGAGTTACTAACGCGTTGAAGACGCTCCCACTCCCGGGCCGGTAACCATGATATATACAGGCCTCCAGAAAGCCGTACTCGCGCAGCGCACGGAACAGCTCACGCTCCCGGTCCTAATGCCCCGCCCTCTGTCAGTCCAATGTACAGCATGAGCAAGAGATATCACTCACTGAAACCTCAAAAGGTAGAACGCGATTGCTCAGACGCCTCAGGATGAGAAAAATCTCGTGAACGCTCGATTGCGCCTGAAACAGGTGGGCGTCGAACATCTCCAGGGCCCTGACGGTGTACAAGGTTCTGGGTGAACCATCAGCGGACCAGGAGCCAGGGAATAGGCCGACGCGGAGGAACTTTAGCGACTTCGTCTGTCTTGAGCAGGCGCAGTGCTGAAAGTCGACCTTTTCGATGATCCCTCGCTCGTGCACCACCGTCAGGGGGGTCTTCTTCGCCTGAGGCTTTTCGCAGAGCTCCCAAGGCTTGTGACCGATGCGGATGACCACCCCGATGTCGGTTGAGGTTGTAGGTATCCATGTCTGGTCATTGTCGCTCCATTTCCAGAGGTGATGCCAAGGTACCATGGTATGTACGATCTTCGCGCACCCGGCACAGAAGTCTGGGTGATCGATGCAGTCTTCGCACCGATAACGGCGAAGCTTCTCGGGAAGCGTACGTTTCCGCCCGAACATTGTGTAGCATCCGAAACACAGATCGTCGGTGGACGGAGGCGCGTATCGCTCGAGCATACAATCATACGCCTCGGGAGAATTTTTCATGAATTCTTCCCCCAGCTTGCTTGGGGCCTGGTTCACCGAATGAGAAAGGGAAGATGTAAACCGTGGACGGGCACTCACGATGGTGTTGTTTGTTCCCGGGGCTGCCCGTCTCCGCGGTTTCTTCACCCCATCAGTAGCGTCTGCACCTCCGTCCAGGGGATCTTCTCGGTCGTGCATGTCATCCTGTTGTCCGTCTTCCGCTTCGTCTTCGTCTTCTATCTGAGGTGGAGGTCTTGAAGGGGAGGGGTTGTGTGCACTGGAAGGCACGGCGGAAGCCGCCGGTTCACGGGCGCGCTGATGGGTGGTGGCACTTTCCTGATTTCGGGGTGGAGCGACGCGGACACTATCAAGTAGGACTGCTTCAGGATTTGAACGGCGTTTTGGGGAGGTTGATCCCTCAGGAAGATCGACTGTGCGCTTCGCAGGTGAGAACGCGGCGGGGATGGGTTTGGTCGTATTGAAGATGTCGTAGATGTTCGAGCTGGTGCCCTTACGCTTGTGAGATCTTTTGGACATGGAGCGCGAACGGATTTTTCAGGCGAGACGTGAGATTTCAAAGGCGGTCGGGCGGGCGTGGTCGGTTTGCGAGGCGCTACAGTCGGGCTTTCCGTCAGGCAAAGAGATAAGCGCCGAACGGCGATATCGCGCGCGTGCAGCATGGCTCCTAAAAAGGTAAAGCCCCGCCTAGGATATCTCTTATACTCACTTCCTGGCTACGTGTAACATCTAGAGTGGGTTATCATTCATAGTTAACTAGCCGACACGTGTGCTAGTCCGACAGTAACGCAGACGCCTCTCAAGGCCCGCCGTCTTTCAGGCATCCTAGTCCCCCTATCCGTACTTGCGTTAAAAAGGGGGTCGCTCCTTCGCACAAGGCACGCTCACCGTGGATCGTGCTGATCGCGCCGTGATGCGCACTGTGCATCTCCATCGGGGCTGATTCCGAGCGGCCGCTGCATATCACAGCTGCGCTACAGGACAGATCAAGATAAACCGGCCTCGCTCGGGATTGAACCCGGCGCCGGACGCGGTTGTGGCGGGCCGATCGCCTCGGTCTCGTCGATGGTCGCCGAGGAGGGATTTGGTTCCGCGAAGAGGTGTATTGACGCCGGCGCGGCGCGTCATCACCGCGGTGCCACGTGGGCCCACGCGTGACGCGTTCCCCACGAACATTGCCCGGGCGTCTGCGTCGTTCGTCCACTTAGTCTTTCTACACTACTCTTTCCACACCCTCGCTGTGCTCGCTCTCAAGCTCGCTACACTCAGGTGTGTATACGCTACCTTTCATTTCGCGCACATGCCTGCGAGCGTCCGCGAGCATCAAGCTCACCGGGCTCGCTGGTGGCGGTGGCTGCTGTCAGACCCTCGTCTGAATGTGCGCCACCGCGCGGAGGTGCAGATGTACGTTCGAGGAGGATGTCACACGGCATTCCCCCGGGCGACCCTGCTACTCCTTGTGATTGTATTTGTGTTCACTCGACGGAACTCATGTCGTCGTGCACTAGCGCCCTAACTCGGTAGATACTTCAACACCCCCTCGAGGACGCCCGATCACAATGCCAACCAGCCAGACTCATTCGAGCGAAGTGCGTCCCCCGCCCGGGTCTCCCCCGCCCCTTCCTTCCGGCCCGCCCCCTGGCTCATCTGTTGAGGTGTGTATACGCTACCTTCCCTTTCGCGCACGTGCCTGCGAGCGTCCGCGAGCATCAAGCTCACCGGGCTCGCTGGCGGCGGTGGCTGCTGTCAGACCCTCGTCTGAATGTGCGTCACCGCGCGGAGGTGCAGATTTACTTTCGAGGAGAATGTAACACAGCATTCTCCCCGGGTGAACCTGCTCCTCCTTGCGATTGTCTTCGTGTTTACTCGACGGAACTCATGTCGTCGTACCTTTGGGCGCTTGCTCGGTAGATACTTCACCCTTCGTCTCCCTCTCGAGGACGCCCGATCGCAATGCTAAACAGCCGGACTAGTCCGAGCGACGTGCCTCCCCCGCGTGGTCCTCCCCCGCCCCTTCCTTCCGGCCCGCGCCCCAGACCATCTGTGTCGGATTTGCGGAGAAACCAGCCCGGGCCGTGTAAGCCATCCGTTACTGGTAAAAGCCGGTTTCTAACTCGACTCAATAGGCCCGAGAAGACTCTCGGCTTTCGACGCGATGGCGGCCGCTCCGGCGACATTGTCCTCCATGGCCACCCTTCCCTCTTTGGTTATGACGTCACCGAACCAGGACTGGATCCCCGCTCATCCGGTTGAACGCGCTATCATCCGAACCTACACGGATGGCCTTTGGGGAGAACTAGAGTACTCTAGGTGGCCCCAGCCCATGATTCGAAACATGTGGCACATCGCGTGCATCCCCAGCCCTCTTCGTCCGCCACCGGACAGCCCCCCCGTCTTGTGGACTACGCTCGCACCTTCCCAGCATTGGCGAGAGGATCCCAGCGTGGGCGTCCCGGGCCTAGGTTTTCTGGAGCACGGACTTCGACAACAACTTCGCGAGGCCGCCTGTTTTGCGTTCACCAGGTACCAGTCCATCGTCGGCGTTCCGCCTCACCGGCTAGCGTACGGTGACCAGCTCTGCGTCGTTATTCGCCAGTGCGTCGAACGGATGAACCGACTCCCTTCCTACGCACCCGTCGCTGTTGCCGTGGGCGCGCATATCCAGCGCGTCGCTCTCGAGCTCATGGGTCTCCACATGTACCTTACGACGGTTCTGTCGCGCATGGACTCTCCGAACGACTTCAGCCTTCAAGTGCTCCCGGTTCTGGGCGTGATAGCCCGTGATGCCGCCACCGCCCAGCTCGCGCATCGCGTCGGCCTTCCCACATGGTTCCTTCAGCCGCTCACGACGAGGATCAAGGTCTGGGCCGTTGTCGAGGCCACGACCCCGTTCGCTCTGTCTCGGAAGGAGAGTTCACCCCCAATGCGACATCACCCTGAGGAGCTAGGCGCGGTCGCGAACCTGACGTCCAATTGGACGTCCAATCTCGTGTTCGCAGTCACGGGACAACTGTGCGCCGGTTCCCTTGCCCCTTTGGACGATGGCACCACGCCCCTCCTTGGCCCGTCGCTGACGGGTTCAGGTGAAGGCCCTCTGAAAACCCGTCGTATCGAGATGGCACCTATCCCTTCCCAAGCTCCCTCCACATCCCAGCCTGGAGGCGTCAAGAAGAAGACGCGCAGGGGTGGGCGCAAGAACACTCGCGCCCCATCAGCATCGACCACCGCGACCACCGCGCGGGCGTCAGCGGTGCGCGCGAACGGTGATGCCGCCTCAGCGCGTGGCGCGCCATCAAGTGTGGCGTTCGACGATCGGGTTGTCTCACCGTCAACCAGCGCGGAGGTGGACGCGCGTTCGAATAACCCGGCCCCTCCAGAACATCGCCATCCCGCCAGGGTGCACAACCGGTCCGTCTTCGTCGACATACCGGAAGCCTGGTCCGTGGCGCTCCTCTCCCAAGGGCCTCTGCCCCAGCCGCGCACATCGGTGGTCTATTTCTACCCGCCGCCCTTCTTGCTGGACACCGTATGCGACCAGACTCCCATCCCAGTGAACTGCGACGCCTCCAGTCTGCGAAGGGACGAGAAGGTTCATCGGTACCTTCACAACGCAGTGCGCATCCGCGCGTTCTGCCGACTGCGTCTCCTGGACCTGTCCTTATCCGGCGGACCGCTGACAATCGCCGAATGGCGTGCTGCGCTCTGGGGCGATTACGCGTTTCACCCTGATCCGTCGGTCCCGGCGGCCGCGCAGAAGCGTGTCAAACGCAAGGTCGACGAGAAGAACAGCGTATCTCGGTTGTTCGGAAACGGGGCCGCCCTACCGTCCTATTCTGCCGCGCAAGTCGTACGATTGGAAGGCCTGTCCGTTTCGGCCGAGGACGCGGCCATAAACCCGACCGTCCGCGCGCGGCTTCTGTGGGAGGCCCACGAGATCAACTTTCGGTGCGAGCTGATGGCACTCGACGCTGTACTCGTGCCGAGGAGCGGTTGGAGCGTCATGCAGCGTTGGGGGCGAGAGATGCTGGTCTCTGGGGTGTGGGGAAAGGAGTCGAGCATCGCTACTGTCATCCCCTTGCCGTCCGATGACGTGTTCGCCTGGCCCTCTGTGCCACAAGAGGACTGGCGCTCCGCGGAGCCCTACCTTCGTCGGTTCATGGCAGTCGCGTCAGCATGGCCGGGATGTCCGGATCACCTCAAGTCTGGACGCCTTCAGGAGGACTGGACGGTGGACATGTTTGAGACATTCCAGGTGGACGCTGTCGCGTTCTATGTTTCCCAATTTACGCGTCGTTTTGGAAGGCTCCCGATCCCTCCTGTACGTAGGCCACTCCACGCGCTGTAGACTTTCAATGAGTTCGGTTCATGTAAGATAGTAGGCTCGTAGGTATGTTGAATACATCAAATGGTACGGGACGGTCGAGTGGTGATAGACGCCCGCGGCGACTCTCAGGCAAGTCTACGAGTCCTCTGACGACTCCGTCTCTCTTTCACTCCTCGCGCATATTCGCTTTCCCCCCTCTGCTTTTCCGCCCACTTCATCAGCTCACCCATGGCACCACCATCCGATATCATTCTCCAACCCGGGGAAGACAAATGGCGCCGGTCGTTGCTGAAGGACGAAACCCTTTGCAGCATATACCTCCGTCCCAGCAAGGACAAGGTTCGACTGTCGGAAGTCACCTCGAAGGTTCTGGAAGACTTTGAGAACAAGACCCTCCACCCCCTCGCAGCGGGCCTCGAGTACGTATGGGAGAGAGTCCAAGCCACCCGGTTTTACAAGGAGGGGAAGCCCAAGCCCCCCAAGGACGCTACCGACGCGGAGGCCCTCGTCCTCGAACAAAAGTGGATCAGTAATCTACGAACGGTGAGTGCGCCCTTTGGTTTAAGGATGTCTATTCTAACAGCGTCGGGCCAGAACTACTACCGGTGGCTCTCAAATGCGCGGAACCGGAATATAAACAAATACCTCAAAGTCCCGCTTGTGACACCTCCCCGATCTCGCTCCGTCTCCGGGTTCGACCTGTGGCGCAAGAGCAAGGAGAGGTACGCCGTGTGCCCCAAAGTCGGGAAAGGCAAGGACTTGAACGAAGAAACGAACATCAACCTCTACAACGAGGACCGAAGGGTCGCGAATGAGTATTGGAACACGGAGCTTCCGTTCGAGGAGCGAGAGGTGTGGTGCAAGAAGGCTGAGGAGGAGACACAGGCGCGTAAACACGCGGCCGAGGGAGTTGCCCTCGATGCTCGTTTACGGTGCGTAGTCCCACGCTTCTCCATTTCCCTTTCTCACTGTACACACGGCAGCGACGCGGATGCGATCCGATCTTGGGCGAAGGAGTGTATCAAGGAGGTCAGCAAAACCACTGGATGGTCCGTTTACATCATGCTTGCCGGCAACAACGAGGCAGGTGTCTTAAGCCACGTCGAGTGAGTCACTGCACCCATCTGTCAAAGTTTCATCTGAGCACATCTGTAGGGAGTACCACGGTGTCGACCACAAAAACCGTCATTTCCTCACGTACATGCTCGAGAAGGCCGATTACGACTTTCAACAGCTTCATCTGGATGAATACAACTTCTTCCGCAAGGTCGTGAAAGGTGAGGTCGTTCCTGTTGATGCAGCGGCAGTCTCAGTGACGTGCCGCCCCTCAGCGATGGAGAAGGAAGCCGCAGATGCCCACAAGGATAGCGACGAAGATAGCGACGACCAGAACCTTGCCAACCTTGCCCAAAAGGGTGCGTCCCCAGCTGGAATGGGTTTGAAGCCACTGACAACTGCCGCAGACTTCGACTTGGGCGACGACGAGCTGAACAAGTCCGCCAAGAACATCCAGCGTGGTGTGCGCAAGAGATTAGGGGTTGCACCAGGTGAGTCGTCTATTGAACACGACCCGATGTGTCGGCTCATTCCCCTAATTCGTCCGCGAAGTCGCTGGTCCGTCCAATCAAGCTGCAGGTGGCATCGTCGACGTCCGTCGGACGACGACGACACAGATGCCGACGCCGACGCTGCCGACAACTCCGATGACGACGGCGGCAAAAACTCCGAAGACGACGTGCTTCCTCGCCCCAAGGACGACGTCTCCGACGACGCCTCCGATGGCAGTTCGAAGCCCCCGACCGATGACTCGAGTGACGATGACGACTTCCAGCGGGCCACGACGAAGACATCGGGCAAGGGGAAAGGCAAGGTCGCGCCGGTCAGGAACACCCGCACGAACAAGAGGACCAATGACGCGGTCCGCGACGAGAACGATGGGGCGCCGAATAAGACGGCGTCCAAGAAGGGCAAAGTCGCGGCGCGCCCGAAGCCCGGCGACAACGATGAGGGTGCGCCCAAGAAGATCACTGGCAAGGGCAAGGGTAGGGCGGTCGCGGAGCGCACCTCAGGTGTGCGCGGGTCCGGGGACGACGACAAGGAGAAGACGCAGACGGCCAAGGTCTCCGGTAAAAAAAAGGGCGGTAAGGGCAAGAGGGTGTCCTCCACGACCGAGAACGTATGCATCTCGTCGCCCGATGTCCCGGGACAGTTGCCCCCCCGCGGGTTGGCGCGTCGCTCAACAGCCTGCTGAAGACATCCCGACCGGGATCTCGAGCCTGAGGGAAGCCGTCGTTCGAAACGCTCTACAAAGGTTACGCGGAAGGTGCTAGGAGACGCGTAAGTGCTTCGGCTTTTATTGGTTCCAAATATCTGATTCGCATACAGCGGCACCATCCCTCTCACGAGCTGGCCAAGGGGCTCGCTCAGAAAGCCGACAAGAGCACGGACAAGAAGCGTCCGCGCGGGTAAGAATCCCATGGGCTCTAGTTGACCACTGCTGACAATGCGCTGAAAGGGCCTCTGCGAGCGGCGCGTCCCGGCGAAGAAATCACGTGGGAGGTGAGAACCGGGTCTGGGCTGAGAGCGCGTAGTGACCGGTCGGTCTGGATATCATTCGCTGGTATGGAATGTGGTGTAGATAGACACACGAATGTACACACAGAGTTTGGGACAACGAAGGTCGGGGTGCACGGACGGAGGAACACGGAGCGGATAAACACGGTCGAGGAAGGGATTGGAAGGCCGCCCATTATCAAATCCGTCCGATCGCCCTGGACGGCATAATACCCAGGCCGTCGCCCGAAAGCAACCCACGACGAGCGGACGATGGAGGGAGACGCGACGCGTACGACGCACGCTGACGGGTCCTCAGGTGAGCGATGGATGCTGTCTGAGGCTGCCGACCAAAGTATCTGACCATGTTCAGTAAATGTCGCGGCTGCGCTATCTCCTCGAGAGTTCCAGAGCTTCCTTCAGTGGACGATAGACCGGGCGAGCGGGAAGACGGCGACCGCACGTTGGCACCCGGGCTACGAATCACCTCGCCGATCTTCCAGGGTACCGAAGAAAAGCGCGAGAGGCATCCACCTGGACATGTACGTGTTCTTTCGCAGACCGCAACACATCACTGAATCGCGCCCACTAGTTGCTGCGACCGACCCGGAACAACCAAGTAGACGCGGGGCAGTCAGAGCTGCGACGATGGAGGGCCGGAAAATATCGCTGAGACCGCGCGCTCGCAGGGCAGTGACCGTCCCTGCCGCTTGCACGTAGCGGTACCTCAGTGGCTGGATGTTCATCGTTCCAACAGTCAGCATCTGATGTTCGGTACAACCAGTTGATGGTGCGGCGGACCTAGGTCGCGCGCGCGGGCAAACGCGCGCGCTCGGGCTTGTAAGTTGTACTGCGGTCGGGGTCAGTCCCACGCTTCTTTCCCCCCGTCGACGATGGCCTTTCCCTTTGGCATGCAACTTATCCTCCAACGCAACTACGACACCCCGGTCGAAGTCCGCCGACACCGAACGCCTGCACGCGCCATCGACGACTTTCCCGGGGGCCGTTACCCACCCCGTTGGAAGAGCCTGGTCATGGAGGGTGCCGATGGTTGGGCCTTCGCGTTCGGTCCCGGAACGCCGTGCGACCTCTGCGATGTGGCCATATTTCACGACGTGAAGCTCCACCTATCGTACAAGGTCTTCTACGCGGCGACGTACTACGTGATTGTAAGTTGCGCATCTAAGGGAGACACATCAGGTGCTGAATCTGCCCCCAGTGCCCCCACTGCCGCCTTCCTTGGTACCCTCCTCAGTGGGGTCCCCCAGAGGGGCATCTGCGCCGGATCGAGGCGGCACGCATGGCGATCCTCCGAGAGCTTGGCCTTATCTACGAGGCCTCCCCCCAGGAGAGCGCGATGCTGGAGGGCATCTTGACCAGCATACCCATGGCTCTGATCGCGGCCTCCGTCCAGTACATCATGAAAAAAACTCACGGGATCGTCGGCATGGCCCGCGAAAAGAAGAAGCGGCGTGGCACTCTTATGCCCACCCGGGGTCAGAAGAAGGTAAGTGGATGCGTACGTTGACGCGGGAGCGGGCCGCGAACGCCAATCGGAGGAGAGGGAGGGGTGGATGGGTGTAGATGGAGGTTGGATGACCTCGATGTAGTGGTGCAGAGGCGTTGCCGGCACTAGGCGCAAAGCAGACGCAAACTAGAGTCACACGAGGGATGTCTAGCCCACAAAGACCAAGTTAACATAGCTCTACATACATACAGGCAATCGAGATACTCACCTAGCCCACAAAGACCAAGAGGTCGAGATGAGGGCTAGGACACGAAGTGCAAGTGCTAAGAGAGTCCGCGATACGGGCGCTTAAGCGCGGGAACAACCTTCCAATATAGTAGCAGGCAGAGAAAAGGCAAGGAAAAGACGAAAAATAATACGTAGGGCGAGTCCAGAGTCCGTTCCACAACATTACCCCCCTCCTAAAACCCATCCGTCCCGGATGGACATGATCCTCCCCTCCTGCCAGTCTTCCTTCTCCGTTTCTGTGTGCTCAGGGTGCTCAACCCTCCTCCATGGCAGCGCGGCGAATAGAGTCGCAGATATCTTGCAAGGCGCGTTGGGATTGCGCTCGTAGAACTCTGCGACCTTCTCTGGGGCATTGGCGACATTCGCCGCTGGTTCCCACGAGTCGTCCCCCTCTCCGTATCCCTTCCACCGCACCTGGAACTGAAGCCGGCGGTTGAAGAACCGACTGTCCAGAATCCTCTCCACCTCGTACTCCTCCTCTCCGTCCACTTCCACTGGCTCTGGCGGTGGTGCTCGTCGCCCGTTCACCTCGTTCCCTCCATACTTGGACAGCCGATCCACATGTACGACCGGGTGGATCTTGAGCGTGGGTGGGAGTTCGAGACGATAGGCTAGATCACCCACGCGTTCGACCACCTTGTAGGGTCCCAGCTGCCGGACACCAAGCTTGCGCGTTGCCTGGTGCACACTGATGTCTTTTGCGCTAAGCCAGACCTTGTCTCCGACTTCGAATGCCTTCCGATCACGAGGGTGTTCCTCTGCGAAGTGAACCTTCATCTTCGCCTTGCCTGCGCGCAGCACTGATTCAATGTCCTTCTGTGCTTGGCGCATGCCCTCTAGACGATCCTCGAGATGAGGGAAGCGAGTCTCTGTTCCCACTGGTACCGTGAAGTCTGGCTTGTACCCGTACATGACCTCGAAGGGCGTGTGGTTGTGCGCAGAGTGGATTCGGCTGTTCAGCACGAACTCGGCAGTTGGCAGATAGCGTACCCAGTCGTCTTGCCGTTTGCGTACGAACAGGCGCAAGTGCTGCTCTACTTCCTGGTTCGTTCGCTCGGTCTGTCCGTTAGACTGAGGGTGGTACGCGGTGGTGAGTGCATGTTCAATGCCAAGCTTGCCGTAGAGTTCGTGCATTACGCGGGCGGCGAACTGGGGACCACGGTCTGACACAATCTTCCGAGGGACACCATGTAAGCGAAAGATCTCGCGGTAATGCAGGTCTGCAACGCCAGCAGCGTCGACACTGTCGCGTGTGGGGAGGACGTGACACTGTTTGCTGTAGTGGTCGACGTACACCGCGATGGCGTTGAACCCTTCGCACTCTGGGAGCCCAGTGACCAGGTCTACTCCCACCACCTTCCAGGGGGCCTCAGGGACGTCGTGTGGATGCAGGGTGGAGCGTGGATGTGGAGCTGGCTTGTAGCGCTGACAGCGCTCGCAGCCTGCGACGTACTTGGCCACGAAGAGCGCCATCCCAGGCCACCAGTAGTGTCGGCTGACGAGCTCAAGGGTGCTGCTGCGTCCAGGGTGTCCAGCTGTGACCGAGTCGTGGCATCGCCGAAGAACCTCTCGTCTGAGCTCTGGGTCGGCCGGCACGTATAGACGACCTTCGTGATACACCAGGCCCCCGTGCTCTTCCCACTCAGCCACTCCACTTGCCACCTTGCGAGGTGGCGCCGCAAGCCCACTTCTAACCTCCACTTCGCGCTTGGTGCACTCGCGGATGCGTTGCTCAAGCAGATCGGTGTCGCTGCAGATGGTTGCAGCTAGCTGAGCGAACCGTTCTGGCTTGAGTACGACCTGCTCCTGGTTGTCCTCCGCGTCCGTGACCTGATGAGTGGGGAGACGCGAGAGAGGATCTGCCTGCGTGTTCGTCTTCCCAGGCTTGTGGGTGAGGACGAAGTCGAAGCGTGCCAACCAGATTGACCATCGTGCTTGCCGCCGTGAGAGATGCTGAGCAGTACGCCAGTACTCGAGGTTCCGATGATCCGTGATGATCTCGAAGGGATCAGGAAGACCCTCAAGGTAGTGGCGCCAGTCCTCCAATGCTCGGATGATCCCCAAGAGCTCTCGGTCGTAGATCTCGTAGTTGCGCTCTGCATCCGACATGGACTCTGAGCGGAACGCGATCGGGTGCCATAGGCCGTCGGGGAGCTTCTGGAGCAGAACACCACCCGTTGCGAATCCAGAAGCGTCCACCTCGAGTCTGGTGGGTCGATCTGGTGCCCATGTAGCGAGAACCGGTTCACTGATGAAGGCGTCCTTGAGCGCGCGGAATGCCTGACGCTGCGCGAACTCCCATGTCCACGCGACGTCCTTCTTCGTCAAGTCGTTCAAGGGACGAGCCAGCCTAGCAAAGTCCTTGATGAAGCGACGATAGAAGTTGGCAAATCCAAGGAAACCGCGCAGATCTCGCAGGTTACGAGGATCTGGCCAGTCGCGCACGGCTTTGACCTTCACCGGGTCCATGCTGACCGAGCCCTGACGGATCACCAGCCCCAGGTACTCCACCTCCTCCCGCTCGAACTCGCACTTCTCAGGGCGCAGGTAGAGGTCGTGCTCCTCCAACCGCTGAAGTACTTCATGAACCAGTCGACGGTGCTCCTCTAGGGTGTCCGTGAAGATGAGGATGTCGTCCAGGTACACCGCTACCTTGCCCTGCGCAATGAGATCCGCGAAGATCGAATTCATCAGCGCTTGGAAGGTGGCCGGCGAATTGGTGAGCCCGAAGAACATAACCTTGGGTTCGAACAACCCTCGGTTAGTGACGAAGGCAGCCTTCCATTCGTCACCCTCCTTGATCCGGACGTTGTGGTACCCCCAGCGCACGTCGAACTTGGTGAAGTACTTCGCTTCTCGCAGCCGGTTCACAATGTCTGAGGCGAGAGGAAGCGGATAGCGGTTCTTGACAGTGACGTCGTTCAGCTTCCGGTAGTCCTGTACTAACCGGAGCTTCCCGTCCTTCTTCTTGACAAAGAAGACTGGAGACGCCATGGGGGACTTAGAAGGTGCGATGTATCCCTTGCGCATGTTGTCCTCCAGGAACCGATCCAGCTCCTCCTGCTCGTTCAGAGGCATGGGGAAAACCTTGGAGCGGATCGACTCAGGCGCATCAGGCTTGAGGTCGATCGCGTGGTCGTAAGGTTTCGACTCAGGGAGACGCTCTGATTCAACCTCGGAGAACACCTTAGCGTGGCGTCGATACTCCTCCGGGACCATCTCCTCGAACGTCTTCTGAGGTTTCCCCTTGTTGGCAGCCTCTGCCAGCTGCGTCGAATAGGTGTAGCCTGCCGCACACCACACCTCCTCCCTCGCATCCTCCAACACTCCTGCCTTCTGCCACTTCCGTCGCTGTGCCCGGTTCGCGTTGATACGCTCGAACGCAGGCCGTTCCTCCTCCTCCTCGTCCGTCTCAATCCGCATCTCTCCCTTCTCCCAGTCTATCTCCGGATTCACCGTACGTAACCAAGGCAAGCCAAGAATCATGTCCTCTGGTCCCAGATCTGTAACTAAGAAATCGAGACGCTCGCTATATGTACCCATACCTAACGTAAGCCTTGTGAAATGCGTAATACTGCCTGCTTTGTTCTTTGTACCGTCGATATTGTGCACTGTGATCTCCTTGAACAACGGGTGCACCGAAATACCATGCCTATCTATGAACCTTTTACTAACAAAAAGCGAAGTCGCACCAGAGTCAATCATTGCTGCGGTCTTAACACTCTTATCGTTTCCTTTTACTATCACGCTAGTGCGAAAATGCGAACCGGATCGATTTGCTTCAGGTATAGTACAGCTATCTACGGTATCGTACGCGCTAGGTACAGGTTCAGGGAAAGAAGAAGAAGAGACCTTGGGTGGGGGCGCCGCTGCCGCAGCTCTTAAGCGGGCCCGTTCGGAAAAGACTTTTGGAGCAGTTCAAGCTCGCCACGGAGGATCTTCTGCTGCTCCGTCATCTGCTGCATCTGCTCGAGGATTGCGTTGATCCCCTGCACATTGGAGTTCGCCGTTGAGGTCGACGCGACCGGGCTGTCCTCGGTGGTAGCTGCAACGCGCTGCTGACCGCCCAAGCGTGGCCTGCCCAGTGCCTTGCTCTGGCAAACGCTCTCGCGATGGCCACGGCCTCCGCACCAGCGACAAGTCTCGTTCGAGTGGTTGCCGTCCTTCTTCTGGTGGTCGGTCGCACCACAGCCCCAGCACCTGCCGTTCATCGACCGCCTGAACTCGCTCAGCTTGGCAGCATCAATGTCCATCGCGTCGGGGTCGCGGGAGGTGCGCATGGTCGAGGGAGTTGCCACGGATGCGAACTGCCCGGTGGCGGTACGAGGGACAGTCGGGGTCGCAACAGACTTGCCCTGTTCGCGCGCACGCTCAGCCTTGCGCGTGCGAATGCGCATGTCGAGGTCCGTAGCGACCTGAACGAGGTCGGGGAGCGCAGCAGTGTTGCGAGCAGTATGCACCAACTCGTCTTTGATCTCCGAGGAGAGGTGCTCGTAGAACCGGTCGCGGAGGTCGGTCTGGCTGTAGCCTGTCCTGTCCGCGAGCTCATTGAACCGCGCGTAGTACTCGACGACGGAGAGGCTACGCTGGTGAAGAGCCTGCAGGGCTGCCTTCGCGTCGACTGCCTCGTCGGCCGTCTCGAATCGCGTTTTGAACGCCGCTCTGAAGGTCGTCCAGTCGTTGTTGAACACGGCCAGCCCGTTACCGATCGTTTCCAGGTAGGGGGTAGCCCAGATCGCAGCGTCATCGGTGAGGAGAGTGAGAGCCGACTTGATCCACTTCGCGTCGTCGCGATCGAAGCCGCCCGTGGCGTTGGCAGTGTTCAGATGGCCACCCATCTGCATCGCGTAGACTTGGAAGGATGCTACGAAGCGGCGTGCATCCGAACTGGTCTTGCCGTTGTACGGCTGGGGCTTGTTCGCGACCTTTGTCGCGTCCTTCGTGGCTTGGGTGTTGACGTTCGAAGCCACCGTCGCATTCGTCATAGCTTGGGGAAGGGTGGTGGACAGGTTCTGGAACGCGGTTGCCAGATTTGTCACCGCCTGCGTAAGGTTGGCCTGTCCGGCAACCAACTGCTGCTGGTTCGCGGTGAGGGCCTGCATGAGGGCCTGAAACTGCTGGGCATCCATGACTAGGGGTGGGATAGGAGTGTGGGTCTCGTCGAATCTAGCCCTGCGGGTCGTGTAGGTGACAGGGGTACGGATATGAGGACACGGTTGGTGTCGCACTCTCGCCAGAGGAGGTCGTTTCGCTCGTTGCGGACGATGTGGACGTGCCGGTTGTCTTCAGTGTCAACCGCGTGCTGATGACCTGTGCAAGCCACCGTGCTCTAGGAACCAGGATACGCTCCGGGGAAGTGAACACCTATTGAGGCTTCCGGGCAGCCAATCAGTCGGGATGACCAACTGCGCGGATAGAGTCGTCGGCCGGGAGCGGGGTAGTGTTCTCAGAGTGTGATACTCGAGCTCAACAGACCCAGGGAGACTGCGATACGCTCAGAGCCTTATAACTCCGGCAGGTATGCAGGGTAGGGGAAGAGCGGGGCGAGTGGCACAGGGTGGGGACGATGCTTGCGCGAGTGGGGGCGATCCGATGCTTTGATGCCAGCACTCACTGGTTAGATCTCGACCTAATGACGCGGGAGCGGGCCGCGAACGCCAATCGGAGGAGAGGGAGGGGTGGATGGGTGTAGATGGAGGTTGGATGACCTCGATGTAGTGGTGCAGAGGCGTTGCCGGCACTAGGCGCAAAGCAGACGCAAACTAGAGTCACACGAGGGATGTCTAGCCCACAAAGACCAAGTTAACATAGCTCTACATACATACAGGCAATCGAGATACTCACCTAGCCCACAAAGACCAAGAGGTCGAGATGAGGGCTAGGACACGAAGTGCAAGTGCTAAGAGAGTCCGCGATACGGGCGCTTAAGCGCGGGAACAACCTTCCAATATAGTAGCAGGCAGAGAAAAGGCAAGGAAAAGACGAAAAATAATACGTAGGGCGAGTCCAGAGTCCGTTCCACAACATACGTATCCCACGATGTGGCTGACAATGGGACAGGGCTGCGACGTGAACGGTCTCGCTGTGCAAACCGCTACGGACAGGGCCGCAAAGCGCTGGGAATCCTTGGAGTGCGTCATCTGGTTGCAGGTGAGATACACGACCAATGCACTCTGCTACATGCTCAGTCTATCACAGGACAACCAAGGGCCTCTTGTGGCGAAGGTTGATGTGAGATCGGGCAAGTACGTCGTACTCGGGGACCTAGCTTGCTTCGCCCCTTATCGCCACAACTGGTGCGAGCTCTGGCGACTGGACACTGTGGTTCACGAATGGGTGCGTCTGTCGGTGGGCAGGATCCACCTCCCACCTGCACGGTCGTCGCCCTTCCTCTTCATCCGTCACACGAACGCCCGTCGATGCGTGGACTTCGGCCTGTGGCTCCTGAGGGTGGACGACTATGAAGGGATACCCGGCGACCGGGAGCTCATTTCGGACTTGGCGTCGCCAGAGGGACGCTGCACGTTAGTTTGGAGTCAGGTACGTGCCAACCCCTGGCACCGCTGCAGACGCTGACCCTTCCCCAGCCCGACGAGATGCCCCACGTTGCGTTCAAGGACGCCGAATACGCCCAGATCCAGGTGTCTCCTGGATGCAAGTCGATCTACACCTGGGACATCGACCACACAGAGTGGTACAAGGTGACGACCCTGCCTCATATCGGCGCGCGGGGCCCGAAGATCCATCTGGTGCGCCTCATTGGGGGACGCCTTCCGGGTCTTTCGATGGCCATCCATCAAGTCGAGAAGAACAACGCTGTACGTCCTCAACGCCGTCTTTGTATACACTGGCTAACATGTGCTCTGTGAAGGCTCGTCGACTCGATATAATCGAGATTTCTGACGACGACGACGACGAGACCGGCCTAGTGTCCCCGGTGAACGACCTCACCTTGATCGACGATATTGAATTCGTCTAGGGCAGTGTGGTGTTTAATTGGAGTCCCTGGAACGTAGCGTACTTCACGGTGTGGTACTGTAGTCCCCTCTTAGCATACGGCGTCGTTATGGATTGTCTTGGGTGCTCTTCCGAGTAAGAGACGAGGATCGGCGAGCTATGGAAAGCGTCAGCGAGCCCGGGCCGTCAACGATGATCGCCCCTATACTATTTACCAAACCCTTGGTAGGGGAGCACTGTTCGCCGGCGTATCTTCTCTGACCTCACGCCGACAGAAGGGTAAGAAGGGCGGGAAGGGCAAGCAACGGTGCAAAGTAAGTGACACAAAGCGCTCCCTTGATGACGTCCTTGACATATCTGCGCAGTAGGGCACTTGAAAACACCAAGGAGAGCCGCGATGGCCACGTGAGAAGTACGAAGGGAAGGATGAGGGAATGGCGGGCGGGCGGATGTATGGCTAGATTATACATCGCGGAATGTTATGGGTAGATCTCAGGATGGGACGACACGGGACCATATAGAGAGGCTCTACGAAATAGTGACCTCAGGGCCTTCCTTTCGAGGAGGAGGAGGAGGTCGGTACCATCAGCTCAACCATCAGTGCCTCGAAACCGCCGGAATCGCGCCGTGAGACGAGACCTGCGGGCTCAGAGCGTCTGCGTGCAGAGGTAAACGCTCGTGCTTTCGCTCTACCCGAAGGCCGACGCGGCGTCCTCACCTACTCCGCCATCTTCCATCCGTACTTCCAGGACGTGGCCAAAAGAATGACTTTCCAAATTGAACAACCTAAGGTACGTATCCACCCTGAACCGCTCTCGACAAAAGCTCACGAGGTGCGACCTCTGCGCGAAAATTGATGGCATAGGATGGAGAGAGCACCAATGGGCCGCTAGAACGCGACACGACACGTGGACTGGTCCTCATTTCGCCTCGCAACAACGACCGGAGCAACATTCGCGAGATGCTTGAAGCTTATGGGAACGAGATGGTTTACGGAGACGTCCATGTGACATCCGACTGGACGTCAGGTAAGCTTTTCTCGAGGGACCAGGTGACTTATCACTGAATGGCAGAGTGAACGCAGACGCATGTCCCAAGGGCACCAGGGGTCTCTGTGTCGGGAAAGGGCGAACAAACAGCGAAGCGAGCGAAGAATTCTGGGCGAGCTTTACAACAAGCTACGCACTGGACGTTCAGAGGAAGGGTCAAAGTGAGTATGAATCAATGCTCCATGGTACAGCCGACTGACATACCCTGTTCCTACCACGTCGCAGAGCCAAATGAAGCTGCCCTCCATCAAGCTCAGAAGCGACTGCCAAATTGGGTTGAGTACGGAACTCCGTTTTCGAAACGGCGCCGCGACGACGACGACGGCGATGTCGAATACGGGGCCGACGTGGAAGCGCGAGCGATCAAACGACGCCGCGAATATCACGAGCGCAGTCAAGGCGGCTCGGAATCCCACGTCGAGACGGACGGAGAGGACAAGATGGAGTACGATGACTAGGAGAGGGCGGTTGGGACGGTGGATAGTCTCAAATGCCACAGGTGAGTTACGTCTGATAGCTAGTCGGGGGTCGCTTACGCGTCTGACTGTGTATATGCGCGTTCGATCACCCGGCTCAGGGTTTCAAAAGGGTGCGACGAGGAGGGAAGGAAGTACGAACCGATGATAGGGCCAGCTCGGAGGGAGGTAGCACGAATTGCCATGTCACACATGTGAGAAGACGTCATGAGCGCGTCCAACTAGTGAATTGACGTCGGTATCGAGTAATCAAGAGCCACCACCGAGGCTCAGCGTAAGTCTGCCACAGCGGGCGCCCGACCCGGGATGAGCACCGTGGTTCCCCTCTGTCCCTCAACAATGCATTTGTCGGAGTCCGCGCAAACGAGAAGGGGCGTAAAAAAAGTGGTAAAAATTTCGGACGGGCGCCTGTTACTAGGGGCTCGACGGGCAAGCATGGCTCTGTCTAACACCTCCCTTCTCCCACTTCACTGGCAGCGGCAACCAACGGTAGCCTATCGATATGAACACGGAAAGCGTCGCGTCGGATGTAAGTACCCACTTTCCAGGGCGCGGGCCCGTAACACGTCGTGCGCGTATCTGAACTTCACTCTGGACGTCAGGTGAAGAGGACTATCGATACAAGCTGGTGGAAAGAAGTATACTTCAGTGAGCTTGTCTACGATTGGGTTCATACAGACAAGTGACCATAGACGGCAGCAACCGACGGGAACTTTCAAGTGTGCCCTGGCCGGGGAAGGGGGAGGGACGCCCTGTATGGGCGCTGGGGTTTCTTTGGGATCGAGAATGAAGGTGCGGTTCACGCATCCACCGCCCCGTCCGTGACTGATATGAGATCCCGTGCACGTAGGCCTCGCCGCGGAAGACCGGGGGGGCGATCAAGACTGCGTCGCTGTTCAAGGGGGCGACGATGGGCCAGCAGATCCGCCTGCCGTGCAGGAGGGATCGAACTTGAACGACGTCCAAGAGTGCCCTGTATGCGAACTGGAACGACATGGCGGGGTGAGTCCTGTACGCGAGGAGCGTGTTGCGGCGCGGGTGGAGGATAAAGCGCAGTATGTCGAGTAGGGAGGGTGGAGCCGCCTCAGTACAGGTTGTGCACAAATCGCTGTTAGAGCGCCCCACAACTATGCGTATGATACATCGCGCTAGTGCCCTGTCAATAGAGAAGACCAGATGGATGCGTATGGAGTAAGAGATCTGACCATTGCCGAAGAGAGGGGGCCTACAACATCTTGCGTGCATACTGAATCTGTGACAGTATCATCAGAACTTCGGCCGCTGGTTCAAGAGACTGCGACGGACGAAGCTGTGAAGCGTCTCGCGAGTATGCAAACTTGTATGTGTTCCACTGGATACCCCAGTTCTACTGACACATTTCAAATTAGAGCACTGTGCTATCGCCCCTCTCCTCCGATGCCTATCTACGCTTCCCGCCCGACTACACTATGGGAATAGGACCCCGGGCCGGGTCAACGCTGGAGCAAGACGCCGGTAAGTTGCCGGAATAAACGCCGAACCCTCGGGCCGTAACTGAACGCCGCGACGGATCACGGACCAGGAGTCAAGCGGTGCCCTGCGGACATTGCCGAAGACACCGAGGCCCGTCCAAATAGTGAGCAGCGTCGTCCTGGCGAGATGTCGTCTAGCCATAGTAGTGTCGTCCGTGCTAGATGTCGTCGACCCATGTGAGGAAGGGGGATGCTCAGAAATTAAAGAGCTTGGAACACCGAAACGCCAGGAAGTACCACTCAAGCGGGCCTTGCGAACGAGGCCAAAGGCGATCGAGGTGAGGAACGACCAGAGACGCTACGCATCGCGAGACGCAACGCACCTTGTGAGCACGCGTGCGATATCACAAACGCGAGAAGCTAATCGAAAGTTCAGCGCCCCGCTCCACGCTCCACGCTCCCGCGCTTGCCACATCCTCGCCCTCCATCCACTGTCGTCTGTCGGCGGCCTCTCGCTCTCGAACGCATCCAGAAAGCACGACGATCGACATCGTGGTCCGTTTCCGAGTGCTCGGTGAGTGTCTCGCTACGTCGTGCGACACTCTACGGGCGTCTCACCATTCGTCTGTCTTCGCCGCCTCTCCTCTGCCCTCCTCTCCTCTCCTCGCCGCTCCCTCTCTCACCTCTTCTTTCTGCCCCAACGAAAGCACTCCTCTATACAACCAGATTACTACCGCGTTGGTGACGCCGGTGGTGACGCCCTGCCGCCCGCGCACGTCTCCCGCGCGTGCTAGCCCAGGTGAGTGTCGTCACTCGTCTTCGCGCTGGATCTTCTCCCCGACCTTCCCCCGTGCCCTTCATCTTCCACGCCGCCGCGACCGCCTACCGTCCTCCACGCGTGTCGACGCTCTGCCACACGCGCACGTGTGACGCCCGCGATAGCCCAGGTGAGCTTTTCCTCGTTCCTCTTCGCGTTGGGTCCTCAACAGACCATCCCCCTCCCCCTTTGCGACCGCCGGACCCGCCGCAAATCTCACTCTCGGTCTTGTTCCGCGAACGTACCCCCGGTCGTGACAACCTCTCGCGCGCGCGCCTCACCCGCGTGGCAGTCTAAGGTGAGTAGCTCGTCACTCTTCTTCGCGCTGGGTCCTGAAAAGACCGTCCATGCTCCACTCACGCCACCACGACCGTCGCCGCACCACCCTCACTCGTGGTGCCTTCACCCCACGTGTCACCCTCCACCCGCGCTCGCGCCCCGGACCGTCAACATCCACTCTCCCAGCGCACCTCACCCACTCATCGCTGTCGCTGACTCGCTCACCATGCCGCCTATGAGCATCGAGCACCGCAACGTGAGTATTCTTATCGTTCCACTTACATACGTTTTCTGACGATTCCGACCATCGCACGCAGACCTTGCATCAGATTATGCGGGGTCCGTACATGGCTATGGAGGTCGCACTAGTATGTGAGGTACGTATTCCGGCTTCATTGCCACGACGATGCGCTAACATGTGCGCTTCAGGCCATCCAGAACGGCCTTGGAGGTCGCATCAAGGTGAAGAAGAACAACGGCGGGAGCCTTACGTTCCCCCATGGCCGCTGTAGGTTCTTACATCGGACGACCGTGAGTTGGGGCTGGCACCCGGTAAGTCGCATTCTATTACGCGCGTGAGGGCAAGCTGACGGAGCGTTGCAGAAACATGGCAGGGTGGCGGGGGGGAAAGGAAAGTCGGGCAAGAAACAGCCGGGTAATGGGAAGAAGTTCCGATCGGACGTAGTGGCCGCGTGAGTGCTTCTCCTCTTGTATCTACGCGCCTGTTACTTACCGTACCGCATAGGTTGGGTCGCAAACTCATCGAGGCGCTTGGCCTGGACAACGTCCAAGGCGGGTTCAACCTCCAGAAGTGGAACCGAATCTGCGCTCGCAACTGGGTGCGCCCTTTGTAGAGGGCCGTAGAGGGCGTAGTAATGTTTTGTTTCGTAGAATGCTTCATACTATTCGTGCTCTTGCAAGTACGCGCGGGCGGGCCGTGAGATGAGACGCGTCTCCGAGAAAAGCGGGATGTGATCGACCCGCACGTCATCCAGGCACTGCGGGGGTGGCTGTGCTCGAGGAACACCTCCGCGCATGGTCCCTGGCCGGCGCGCGCCCTTCCGCCTCACTCGGCCGTCCCGGCCTGCGCGGCGAGCGTGAGGTGCGTACTCACCGTGTCCGGCCTCGTGATCACACCCATGACCGGTCGACGCGCACACCAGGAATCGACGCCAGAGCTCTCTCTCAGCTCCTGCGTCCTCGCAGCGTCGCGTTGCTCCATTCTCTACGACTCACGTCCACTCGTCGTCCCTCGACCACCCGACCACGCTAGTGGCTACGCGCCTTCGCCTGGCTCCCGTCCATGTCGTCCTCGCGCACGTTTTCCGCGCACGTTGTCCGTCCCGCCTCGCACACGCCCATCGCGATCCGCCCGCGTTCACCTAGGATCGATACGGCAGCCCTACGCGACGCATCGGTCTAGACGCACCGCGCGTTCCCCTTCGCCCTCGGTGTCGCCTTCGCCCTCGGTGTCGCACTCGCGCTCGTCATCCTCCTCGGTCTCGTCCATTCTGACCTCCTCGCGCACCTCGCGTTCCCGCGATCCAACTCTCTTCGCGTTCGCTTTCCCCGCAACGCGTCATATCCCGGATTCCCCATTTCTACGCTTACACCAGCCCTCTATGTCCATTGTCGCCTTCACCGCCGTGGACTCGGCCCTGGGGTTGACGACTGTCGTCTTGCCCCACCGGTATACGCTGTGTTTACCCATATGAACCATTTATGCATACGCACCGTTTATGCATAAACGGGGCGTATGCATAAATGCGCCGTATGCATAATCATGCCGCATGCATAATCACGCCGCATGCATAATCGGGCTGTATGCATAAACCGGCCGTATGCATAAACCGGCCGTATGCATGAACGCGTTGTATGCATAAACGGATCGTATGCATAAACGCGCTGTATGCATAAACGTGTTGTATGCATAAACGAATCGTATGCATAAACGGGGCGTATGCATAAACCGGATGTATGTATAAACACAATCTTAGACATAGGTAAGCATCCCGAGGAGAGGGCGAGTATGCAAGCAGTGTTGAGAAGTATGACTGGACTGTGATGAACGACGAGTTCAACAAAAGCCTTGTGTTTATGTCAGTATTGAAGAGAGTATATATTCTATAAGCAACGCACAAAGAACATGGAACATTGGCGTAGTGGTCTGTTGTGTCGCATGTGTACAATGTCAACAGGCTGCGGGTTCGATTCACGCGGCTGTCCTTTTGTTTACGGATATTGACGCTCTTACCGCTGTATGCATACTTCAATGTTTATGCATATATCTGTGTATGCATAAGGTACTGTATGCATAAACCCGGGGCGCTCTCACAGGGATTTATGCATAACCTGTACTGAGGCGGCTCGGCCGGCGGTGCCGCCGCCTACGATAACATAGTCGAAGACCTGGCCGGAAAAGTTGTGAATGGTATCGAGAAGGCTCTACATTGTGCGCTGAGAGGATTCACGATGGAGGAATGTGGTGCTGAGACGATTGGTTAGGGAAATCCTGAACAGATCGGCCGTTATATATGCCACTCGGAGAGGTCTTGTCGCCTTAGCAGTTAGTAAACAAACACGATATCTGGTTTAGCTGCGCTCACCAGGCGTCAACGGTCGGAGGACGTGCGCTATATGAAATTGAAAAGAATGCACACCGGCTTCTTGCTGAGCCGACCTCCTACGGGGCTTGGAATTGGAATACCGACCTACTTCCGACGCGTTTACGGTGAGCACACCACGATTAAGATGCGTAGTAGAAACCATCGTGTAAGCAGCCACACCAGTACTCATGATCAAGTACATACTTACTGAAGACTGTGTCAACCGTGAAATATTCGCTGAGCGGCTTTTTTCTTGACGCTGGTGGCTGTGGTAACAAGAAACGTTGCGGACCGGCCGAGATCTACATACTGTCGCAGATATTTGGAAATAGAGGTATTGAAACTGTATACGGCTGCTGGCTTCAGCTGCAGGCTGAGCTCAGGCCTCTTGAAAGAAGGGATAATATTTGAGATCATATGACTTACGAGACCCGGTGTGTTTGCGGTGCGCCGCTGAAAGCAACGGACTTCATCCGACGCGTGGCGAACGGCGCTTCTTGCGTTGCGATGTCCGATGAGACTGAGCTTGTCGAGATGGCTAGGCAATTCGAACGCCCATTTCAGTCGATATTTCGATCGGAATTTGGGTCATGAATGCATGACATTTGCGCTGGAACACGGGGCCGCCAGAATTGATTTTTTGGTCAACACCCAGGAACGATGCATCGATGTGGCCTGTATGATTTCAGTCTGGTTTCAAGTAAGAGAAGTCCGGGCGAGCTCACCCTAGCATGTGGATATGAAATGTTCGCATACCGGTCGATGAAAGACTAGTGGCAACATGAGTGGCACGGAAGTATTCGACGCGGTGCTTGTGAGATAGGATAAGATAAGATAAGATAAAGAAGCTTTGGGCGCCTTCTCCACTTCAATGCTTCAACTGATCTTTGACAAAACACCACCCCAAATCCGACCGGTAAGTCCATGTACGCGCGTGCGTGCGTCTCGGCCTCGCTGAGGGGATGGGGTCGCGGACGTCATAGACGATGGGACTTAAGCGGTTGAGCTCGAGTTGCCGTTTCAACAGCTGACGGGCCGGACGGCCCATTGGGGAGCCGTTCGCTCTCTGCAGGCCTCCAAGGACACCGTCTCACTCAGCGAAGACGCCTTGTAACCAGCCTGTTCTCGTATCCTATACAAAGTCGTATCCTACATGCTCTTTGGGACCATTTGCAGCTCGTAGAGCGACGAGGGCCTCTGCGAGCCAACCACATTGCAGCATCGCGCCTCCAGCCGGTTACTCATCCACCCGACCCGGCCCAGCTCATGTTTCGTCCACTCCGTCCACGCCGTCCACCACCCCACCACATCCACCGTCTTCTCGACTACCATGTCCGCGCCTCCCCAAGCCCCGACCGTCAACGACATCGTCATCAAGGGCGACGTCCCACCGCATGCCAAAGACCTCTTCCACCGATGGGTCCGCGACAGCCAGACGAAGCGCACCTTCGCCTTCTCCATCGCCTCGCGCCTCGTCCCCTCCGAGGTCGAAGTCTTCTCGCGCGAGCGCGACGGCAAGCTGCAGGCGCGGGTCACGTACCGCCTCACTGTCGCAGCCGGTGCGTCGCCTCTCCGCGCGCCGCGTCTGGCAGGAGCACCGCGTTGACAGACGGGCAGACATGCTGAACTGGAATGGGAGCATGCACGGCGGCTGCGCGGTCTACCTCATCGACGTGTGAGTGCATACTTTCCCCTCCTGCGCCTTCCGTCGGCTTGCGCACCGTGCCCTCGTGCTCAATAGACTGTTCTGGCTGCTCGCGCAGGTGCTCGTCTGCCGCCATCTCGCTACTCGCCATGGTCCAGAAGAAGCCGTGGGGATCCGTCTCGCAGGCTCTCAACACGTCCTTCCATGCCCCTGCGCTCGCGTGAGTGCCCTTCGCGCCATCTCCAGCACCAGTCCCGGGCCCCGGCTGATCTACGTGCCCAGCGGGGTGACGATCGAGGTTGTGAACACGACTACCGCGTCAGGTTCGCGTATGCTGTCGTCCGTCACAGAGGTGAGTCTCCTGCCCGCCCCTTCCCCTCCACACCTGCCGACGCGTCGACGCAGATTTGGGATGTCACGAACAGCAGGTTGTGCATGTCGGGCACCCACCACAAAATGGCGCCGTCCAAGCTATGAAGCGGTGGGCTGGCTGATCACCCTCGTCACCTACGCCTGCGTATCTCCGCTTTCAATCATACTATCTTCCCCCGGAAGGACCGCCCCGTCTCGAGGGATGTATGCGTGGCTCACGACGCGTTTCCACTTGGGGAGAGTATGCCTTATCAAAGCTTCCTCCCCCCTCGTCGCTTAGCTAGATCTCTCCACATTCATCATCAAGCCCGTCTCGCTCGCCCTCTACCGCGGGAAGCTTTGAGCAGGTGCACGTCGCACGCCTTCCGGATCGGTTCGCCTCGATACGCCCTAAGGCTGCGAACCCTTGAGATATCCCGTATGCTCTTCTTCCCGACGCTGCACGATCCTGACACAGACCACACAACGATATGCTCGCCAAGACAAGACCCCCATGTATACTCAAGCAATGGGAGCAATGACCTTTAACCGAAACGACGTGCTACAAATAAAATCACATACTCTACAGAAACGCACCCGGCACTCCGTCTACCGCCTCTTCGACATCTCCAGCCTCTGCTCGATGCTCATGCCCATCACCTCATCTTCCGCACCCGCACCCGCACCCTTCCCCCAAGCGTCGCCCACGATCTTCCCGTAGTTGTTCGGGCTCATGGGAACCGGGCTCCCCCCGCCGTAGCTCCGCGCCACGATCTCGTCGACCTTCCCCAGCGCCGTCTTGCGCGCGAGGTGCCGCTGCGCGGGCGTGCCCCGTGCTCTCGTGCCGCGCCTCAGACCCGCGCCTGTACCCGCGGTTGGCTCAGCCTGAGCTTGAGCTTGAGTCTGAGCGGGCGCGAGCGAAGCCGCCGAGGTAGCGTGCCTTTCCTCGCGAGCACGCGAACCCGACCCAGCGCGATCGCGCGGAGGCGCCAGGTCCAGGTCCAGCGCGGAGCCCGACGCGGATGCCTGGGAGTACACCGACGCGCTTCGCATGCGCTCGAGGTCCGCCCGCGCCCGCGACTCCCCGCGGTCGAGCTGCGAGTACGCCGAGCCGGAAGACGACGATGTGAGCGTACGCGACACCGCGGCGGACGGGACGAGGAGCGTCGCCCCCGACGACGACGCCGCCGCCGCTGCCGCAGAGGGAGGCAGATGTGCTTTTGTCAGCCGCGTGTGGAACTGCGGCGAGGACGGGAAGGGGAGCGGGGGCGGTTCGCGCGCAGTGTGCAGCTTGTTCCGGGGAGGTCTGTCCGCGTGCTTATCAGGACGCTTGTCCTTGTCCTTCTTCTGCTTGCCTTTGCCGCGCGCCTTGGGCGTGTCGTCGTTGGAGGCCCTGGGGTACGGCGGGGAAGCGGGGAAATGACGGAGGGAAAGCTCGGGAGCGGGACCAAACAGGAGGCTCGTCTGGAGGGGCGGGGACGCGATCAACGGCGGGTTGAATGGCAAGATGTCGATATGCGCGGAATCTGGAACTGGAGCGTGGGCGGGTGCCACGAGAGAATGATAGGACGGAGGAGGGCGCTCAGACAGCGGACGCGAGACTCTAGGGGACTGCGGTGCAGAAGCGAGAGTCGCCTTGCTCGGAGGGGTGAAAGGACTATTGCGCTTGTCCTCAGCCGTCCTCCGTTTTGGCTTGGGCGTGAACCTGTCAGAGGGAGGACGAGGGATATGTGCACCGTCAGAGTCGGAGGATTGCGAAGGAGGTTCCTGTTTGGAGGTGATGATCGTAGCAGCGCGCGAAGGCAAGACCGCAGGCGAACCGTCTTCTTCCTGCAGGAAACCAGACTCCGGATCCTCGAGCAAGATGCGGAACCCAGGAGGAGACGCCAGGAGATCCCTCCTCTCTTGCATGTGCGACGGGCGCCGGATTGGTGACCCGTCGTCCCAAGGGCCCGAGTTCTCGCGTCGTCGATGGGAAGCAGACCACGACCGCATCGTACGCCGACGCTCGAGATATTCCTCGTCATCTCCCTCTTCAGGATACGACTGGAATCGAGGCCGGCGGATAGTGCCCAGACGTAGACGCTCCAGAATGCTACGCCTAATGGACTTGTGTCGGGGGGGAGCTTGAGCAAGCACGTCATCCTCTTCGCCATAGTCATGCTGGTCGGAGGACATGGAGCGTGACCCGGGCGCAATCCGGCGTTGAGTGTCGACTCGAGCGACTTCACATACAGCGGTAGGGTCTGCTAGAAAAGGGTCTTGTTCCGCGTCGCGGGCGGGAGCTCCGGTGGCGGTGGACGTTCGGCTGACAGTGGAGAGTGCCCGCATGAGCCAGGAGCTCTCCTCTTTGGCATCGCCAGGCGTCTCCTTCGGCACGAGTAGGGCGCTGTTTGGCCGTGGGGTCAGGTCTGGTGGTACGAGGGAGGAGCGACGGGGAGTGGCAGGATATCCGTGAGGGGAGAGCGCGCTAGACGTGTAGGCCGAACCGGACCTGAGATGGGAGCCTTGAGGGGTGAGGCTACCACCGAGAACGCGATAGAGAAGCATCGTTACGCCGATTCCAACGCCGACGCCTAAGATAGCAAAGACGGGGGAGAGGAAAGCGAAATTGAAGTCCTTGGGGCTGTCGGCCAACACTTGGTTGCGGTGTCTAGTGACTGAGGACTGTTGGCTCGCTGGTGGCAGGGCGGCAATGTGCACTATGGAAGAAGCGGACGTAGCGGATGTCGTGGAGGATGGCGCGGAGGGTGTTGTGGTCGAGACCCCAGTGGTAGGCGAAGGGCCGGCCGAAAGCGATGTTGTAGAAGCCGTTTGAGATGGTTGAGTTCCAACAGCGACGTCCGTAGGCCCAACGAGGGACGAGGGGATCGCTGCATCGGTCGGCTTGTTCCATTGACTATACGCGGGGAACGGCCACCAGTTGATGGACGACGCAGGGTCTTGGCGCGCATATAGGGAGGGAGCAAGAGGAGGAAGTTCGTACGCAGCTGGATGACCCCTTCCACAAATAACGAGAGCGGCGACGATATGAAAGCCCAGGAGTGCGCTGAGCGGTCGTAGGCGACATGATGTGCCAGACATCTAGGAAGGATGAGCGTCAACGTCGGAGATCCGATGGATGGACATACCTGAGCTTTACAACGTCGCACTTGGACTGAATGAAGGGATACGTGGAACAGGAGAACCAATGCGAACAGTGATCTCAGCGCTCCGCGAGGCTGACATTCCAACCCAGCCTATGAGTCCCGCTTACGACGAAATACAGTGTCTTTAACGCACCGTTAGGCATGAGAGTCTCCTACCAGCATTGTGTCTTAAGAGAATTTGCGTACTATTTTCTCACTGTTCATGTCTGAGCGCGCCCCAATGGGTGTTGGGAAGCTGAACTTTGACGGGGATGTGGACGTTGTGAGACCTTCAAGGAAGGGAAAAGATGCATTCCAGTTGCGGTGTGGGCGACGACAGCGTATGCGCAGATTAGGAGACGAAGAGACAGCGTGGAGACCTCGCAGCTAAGCCCTGGCCATGGTGGGGCTTGAGGAGAAGGGCGACGCGTCAGCGCCTCGAGTCTCGACCCTCAGATGCAATCACGGTCACGAGGGCGTGTGAACGTTTCCTCCTAGGTCGCTCAGAGTACGTTATTCTGCTTATTCAACGCTTCATGTAGCTTGGCTCGTCCAGCCGCCCCCGTCGTTCCTCCTGCATACGCTTCGTGGGCAGCTGCTGCGTCGACCTCTTATCGCTCCCCTCCTCTCAGTTTACTTCCAAAAAGCGTTGTTATCTCTAGGGTTGGCACTTCTGTGCCTCTTGATGAAAACATCCATCCACAATCCATCCAGCTCTGACATCGACCTATCCGGGATTCCAGGAACGTATCGAACTTGTCATCAGAATGCAGGGGCCCGACGTGACGGGTATGAACGTTTTTTTGACACCACACGTCGTTCTTCCCGGCCCTCACCACTCCGGTACGCTGAGCAAGAACGAGAAGGTACGTACACAACAGATCGCTGCAGGGCTGTACCTAAGTTTGGTGCTTAGTTCACACCACCACGCCCGGACAGGGAAATGCGTGGACGCGTGCGACGTGTTATAAAGGATCCTCATTGGAACCACTAACTTCGACCCACCCACTCATACTGCCACTACAGAGATGCCTCACCTTGCTCAGTTGTTCTTCTTCCTCGCTTTGATGTCCATGTTATATGGTACGGGCTTTGCGGCTCCCGTGGCCAGCGGTGTTCCCCGCGAAGGTGTGTTAGTGAACTTACACGTTGGTATATATTACTAATTGACGCTGCAACCAGACACGGCAGATGACTTGCATGTTGAAGAGGTCAAGTGGCTCCAGCAACAGGATCGCTAAAGAACGAACATTCCCGTACGTCCAGTGGTAGATGTCACGATGAATTACGCGCGAATAATCATAACTGTTCAGAACACCCGTCCCAGAAGAACTGGTTTCTCGTTCTTGTACATGTGCTCCTCTGGCGTTTGCTATAAACACGTCAATTGGTACGATCAATCCGCGGGGAGGCTGCTGTCGAATTCGGTACATCTCGCGCTGGCATCCGGAAGATCTGCAACGCATGTTTCCAGTTTTGATAGTGAAAAAATCTCGCATATGACTCTATACAAGCACAGTCATTCAGTGACTGAACGCACTCTGCCTCGTGGGGCGCTCGATTGGCGTGTCGCCTGCGGGAGATTTAAAGTGCTCTTGGTAGAATATCTCCCTCGGCGCTCAGAAACAGGCCCGGTGTTTCACAGATCTACAAATTCGCACTGAGGCCGCAGATGTCTTGACAGTTCCATGTCAAAGCGTGTAAGTGTTCTCTTCGGTGGCAGATACATTAAACTGTCCGAGCCCAGATTATCACCTTCCAGATATGCTGGTCCTGGGGGACTCTGCATGACGATATTTCCCTAGATGTTCATGCTGTACATCTCCTGGGGCCTTTAAATATGACTCTATTCACTCGTGCCGGTTCATCGAGCATTTACTTCACGTCACTCGGTCCAAAGTCGGTCTCCATTCGGTCCTATGGGTACTCGACGTGGTAGTGCGTACTGTGTCAAAGACGCTCAACTTTCGAGCCTCCAATGGACCCGGTATACCTACTGTGGGTTGAATAGCAGCAAGGTTTGACACAAGATATCACATCTTCCAACTCTATAGCTATATAACATCCGAGGCTCTTGACAATCCCAGATATACCTCACTCCCCACGAGACTAAATCAGAAGAGTCCATTAATCTGCCAGTTACGACCGCGCTCTGCACTGCCGCCTGCTGCTGGATGACAGGTCGGCCACTGATTGATGCATCTCCGTGGGCGTCGCTGTCCTTATCTGTATACCTAACCACATGGCACTGGATAGATCATCCCTCCCGAAGCGTGCATCAATATGCCCTAACCTACTCGCTGTGACTGCCACCCATCGGACCGTGCTGTCCGCACCCCTACGCGCATTGACATTCAAGATTCAAGAAGGAGCCTCCAATCCTACCGATGAAGCTCCATCCCCACACTCTTTCGGTTT